AAAAGAAGAAGAAAACTCCAGAAACAAATAGTCTCTTAATCAGTTATTCAATGTGAGAAACACATATACAGAAAATATATAACAACATCACACAGGTGCACAAATCCAGCATTCAAAAGAAGTTGGAAAAACAAACTGCAGCAATCCAGTGATGTTGTCAGATGTGACAGTGAACAGCTACCTCAGTACATTCATCCTCAGAGACACATTTGGTCCGTCTTTCAGGCAGAGAGCAGAGAAAAAAACACTCTTGATTACAGTCTGTGTGGAAATGTGAAACACGTAACTGAGTAACAGCATGGTTTCTGCAAAACATTCACCCAAACGCTCAACCTGCTTTGTGATGGTTATTTTGCTTTTTAAATAATGACCGTATCAAAAACTAATTAAAGCATGTTTATCTACCGTGACATGAATGAGACCAATCAGCTGACTTCCCCATGGAGACGGGCAGTGTTTAAAGGTGCCCTTTAAAAAGAACAACCTTTGACATTGTTGGCTGTGGGCATGCTTGAGGAATACAGCCATTACCTTAGTGGAATGGATGGTACAAACAAAGTATTGATGGATTTAGGATCCTTGATGCTTTGGCTACGTAGGCTCGATGCACAGACCATAAAAAAAACAAAAAAAAAACTGAGCAGCAGCAGCAGCAAGGACAAGTTTTTAAATTCTTATTTTGCTAAATGACAATAACGGATTTAATCACACTGTGTCTAGAGGACTTCAGTGGCCATCAGGACAAAGCGAATGCTCATGTTGTCTGTTCTGAGGCTGGAGAACAGGGATTCCTAGCAGTAATTCAGATGTGTTGAGAAGTACAGACCCGCAGTAGGCAGAGCTTCCCTTGGAGGGAAGCATCTCCTTCAGCTGATTGAGCATTCCAGCAGGTGCCACTACTTTTCTGCCTAATCCAGGTCCATGATGTGCTCGGCAACAATGTCCATGGCTGCCGAGGCCTTGATGGAGCTCCCTGCTGAGCCAGAGTCCACAAACATCTGCGGTATGTCGTTCCCAAAGTAGATTTTGCTGTTGGCTGCGATGGCTTTGTATTTCATCAGCTGCAGGTACTCTGGTGTTAGCTTGACCTGTGAGAGGGAGCGACAGAATTCCAGTGAAGGAAGGTAATTTTGCAGCCCACATTTGTCAACCACAATATGTGTTTGTCTTTACCTTATTGGCCTCAGCCGCTCGCTGAGCCGTGTAGAACTCTGCATCGGCCTTGGCTTTCTGCCGGGCCAGGAAAGCACCGTCTATGAACCACAAACACAAACTCATATGAATCATTAGCGGCATGGCAGTTTAACAAAAACTCTACCGTAGGCGTCAGAGAGCGGGAAGCTGGAGGATTTTCTGCAAATATGTATTTGATCCAACCGCTAACTCCCAAATGCAGCAGCCAAAACAAATGCACTTGGAAAAGAGCAAACACGTGGCAGTACTTACTGCTGAGTTTTACACTTTCCATTATCAGATTTATAAAAATGTACCTGTACTGTACTCACAATGCAGCCTCAAATCAGTTCACTCGATGGATACATTCATTTTAGAGATCAAAGAAATAGGATCCCTTTAAAATTTAAACAGAATACTTTAAAAATGAACCCAGTAAATAAAATCAAGTCATTCTTATGAAATCATTGTTTTAATAAAAGTGCATTTGTATAAAACACTGAAGTCAGACATTCACTGGCCACTTTGTTAGGTACACCTGTTCAACTAGACATTTAAACTAATGAGCAGTCAGCAGAAAATCTGTATTTGCAAGTAGAGATGGCACGATACCACTTTTTTATGTCCGATACCGATATCATAAATTTGGATATCTGCCGATACCGATATGAATCCGATATAGTGTGTTTTTTTAATCAATAAAACTGTTTTTTTTAAAAAATATATTGCTGCATTTTGTATAGGTTCATACTCAAGTTTAAATAAACAACAACACTAAAGCTATTCTGTTATACCTGTATGTAAAAAATACACTGCACCCAAAATATTTCAT